CCACTTTTATTGCGACAGCTTCTATGTTGACAGTTTGTTGCAACTTGAAAGCCCTCTTTATTGGATCGTGTTACAAGCCTCCAACCTTGAACTCTCTTAAATTTGACGAACAATGAAACGTAAGACACAAGGAGGAGTTTCGAAGTGCATGTTATTTCCAATATTCGTACGTTCGAGAGGGCTAGTTTTATTGAACTTTATATTGGGCAATATTTCAAAGTTGAAGAGACTTCCTCAAATTTGTTTTAACCTGAACGATGACTATGAATATAAACAAGAAGGATTTATAAAAATTTTAATAAATCAATTTGACTTTTCAAATGTTTGAATTATTCAAAAGATGTTCACAGATGTATTTTCCATCTCAGCAGGGAAATGGAATCACGATAAGAACGAGATGCATCAGAAAAAGAGAAATTGAGTTGAAACATGTCATTGAACATGTACGAGATATGTTAGTCGGCCATCTCACAGATCGATGATCGTAATTGGATTTATGTCTGGTTGGAAACATTAAATCGAAAATCGATTCGACACCGTCAAGGATGCGTTGAAAAACTTGTCAACAAGTTCCATATAGAATGAATAAAAAAAAAAAAAAATTGGTAATCTAATTTTCTCTAAAGAAATCCAGTCAGACCTTTCAGTAGAATATCATTCGATGAAGTTACTTACGTGTTTGATTCTGGTCATATTAGAAAGTTCAAAAACTAATTTAAATCCTTCTTTACTTCTGCCTCTGTTGTTTCAAAAAAAGCCATAACTGCTATAGAAAAATATTCGACTAAACTATTTATATTTAGTACTATATTGCTTATGGAATAAATGAATAGTTCCGATGAAATTGAAGCTCGAAATTATCTGTTTATTTTTGATCTCGAGTGTGAAATATCCGGTCGAACGTTTGCAAAATAACATCTTCTCGTGTATAAATTTTGAGATTGGTACACTGGGAACCGGAACTGCAACCGCACCGAGAGAGCACGTGCGGTTAAACTTTCCGGATGCTATTCACGATAACCCACGAATCTAATTACCCTCTCGCCGTCGAATAAAGTTGTTGACTTTAATATGATCAAAATGTTCGGAGCTTTGGAAACTCAAAATCGCGTCGTTTTCCACGCTTCTGTCTCTCTTATCAATTGATCAACCCTATAATATTCATGCTTCATTCAAAATACATTCTTCACGTAAATAGACTTTTGTTAAAAAATGTACGCGATTCAAACTGAAAAATGTCTTCTAAATTTAAATCCCACCTATGATAAACGCCACGGATTATCGATCACCTAAGTGACATTGAACGTAACTTATGGAGATGATGAATGTATATCCTCCTTTTTGCATTTCTGATTACCGCGAACCGTCGTTGTAAATCAGAGGAAACCACAGCCATTCAACACGATTTCACGGCATTATGAAACGCGTGGATGATGATCGAACCGTTCGTCCATTTCCTGTCGCGTCCAACTGCTCTTTCAAGCGCGAAAGATGTGCTTCGATTATCGATCAGGGAATTAGGGACAGCTTTTTCCAGAGTATACTCAATGAGAGAAAGAATCGCTTTGTGTTCTTCTTCGTCTCGAGAATAATAGAAGTAATGGATTCCTTTTGGTTCAAAGGGTGTTAGTTGACTAAGGTTTAAATAAAACACTCTGGAAATCAAACGATTCATCTTGATTCACTTGTATCTCGAAGAAAAGGACTTGTAGTAAGATTGAAAAATGATAATAGAATCGAAAATCTTGATAAAATTAAGAAGATGGTTAAATAAAGCGAATAATAAAATTGCAAGATTAAAAATGAAAATTTCCTCTTCTCCGGATAATTCCAACACCTACTTCCTTTCACTCCGCTAATGGACTTGGTTAATTGGAAATCTCGAAGTGAACATTCGCGAGAAATTCTCTCGGCTGGAATGTTCAAAACTACGAAACAATTATTGCAAACGAGGAGATCTCTACTTTCTTGAATGCTTAATAATCTTCGAGCACTCCGATAATCGTACGATTACTAGTTAATTATGAACGATCGATTAAACTTTTCAGTGGCTTGTAGAAATACGAAAGGAATTAAAGAAATAATGAAGAGTAACGCTTGATCGTTTCTATCGATATAAAAATACCTTCTGCTCTGAAAAATAAAGATATTGCTCGACGAGTAAATGTCTTTCATTCTTCGTGAAACGTTATTAAAATTCAATGAGCATGAACCTAAACTCCGATTATGAGCTTTCCTTATTAAATATTCCGGTTTCTACCGAAGAATTTCAAGATAAACTTGTGGAGAGACTCAACTATTTCACCGCATCAATTGAAATAAATTTATAAAATTACAGATTGTATTGAAATAATTTTAGATCGCAAAGTAGGAAGCATTTTATTAGCGGAAATATTAATCGCGTAAACTTGAACCATGCTCGATTTCCTTCTTCATGAATAATCCGTTAGCGTCGTCGTGTTAATTAGACGAACTCGATGAAACATATTTGCATTGTTTCGAGCAACAGCAGCGACAAACAACGATACAATACTACATAAAAGCCACGAGCCAGCGAAACCATTGTTATTGTCCGCGGAATCGCGAATTAATTCGCGAAAGACCGGGGCGAAATGCGTCAACAATGTGTTAATGGTTTTCAAATCCCACTTGGGAATATTCATTTCGAGCATGGTCAATCCCTGCGCATTTGTATACAGAGTGTCCTCCAACAAGATAATAGGTTTCACGTGTAAATATGAGTAGAAAATGTTCAAGAAAATTTATTTATATAAAGTTCTACTTTAGCTCAATCATTTCATTAATACCGAACAATTAAAAAAAAAAAAATAATAAAATAATAATACTGTGTTGGTATTAGAAATTTCGAAAATTGTAAATAGAAATATTTTAAAATTGTAACTTAATTTTAATACTTTAATTAAGAATTATTTTATTCAACTAGAATAAAATAACGTTTTTTAAATCAACAGGTAACACGAGTTTCAGGACACCCTGTACAGTGGCGACAGCGCGAGAAATACACGCTATCGTAATTTGCTTTCAGGTGACATTACACGACGCTAATGTAATTTGATCTTAAATGGAGAACCCGACCAGCTTGCTAGGCTACTTTCATAATTAACTTCACATCGGCATCTCTTTTTAATGAAAAAGGAAATCTGGTCACTTAACAGTTTACTAGGACCACACTAGGCTACTGTCACGAAAAAATTTCAAAGAAATCTATTCGGAATACGAGGGACATTATGAAGATTTCATAATCCCTTTGTAAATTTCATTTCTGATCCTTTGGAGAATTTCATTTCTGACCCTTTCGTAACTCCGAACCTTTTTTGAATTAGTTATAAATTTTTCCTTTACACCCAATTTTCGTAAATCAGAAACCTTTCGCAAACCTAATTTCCTTTTATCTATTTACAATCTAATATTATTCCAGCCTCCAAAAATGGGGTTTTAAATTTGCAATTTAACCGGAGCAATTTACCGTTGATAAACTATGAAAGAACTCTCTACATACGCACCGTGTAAAAGATGGTATACATTGTCGACCTTAATTCGATTTCCGTCTGTGAACGCCACGAGGGACATTGGAAAAAAAAATTTAATGTTTCGTTCAAACGATCGTTTCGAGTAGTGGAAGAGGGTGCAAAAGCAATGTTGTAGTTCCAGATTGAACGTGGCTCGATATATCTCGCCTTTCACAGACCAGATATGTAGTAACAGCCGATTCAAGCGGGTAGAAATCGCGATTTGATATTCCTGTAAAAGCTCGGGCAATAAGCACGCTCGTTTTATGGATTCCACCCATAGGTGAGGGTGGTGGATCATTAAAGAGGAAGCTACACGCGAGCTACTAGATTCGTGTGTAAAATATACATCCCTCGATGCATCTTCTCCTACCCTTTTTTCCTCAAATATATTTCTAATATTTTAATCCTTTAACCCTGTAGCTATGGTATAATAAATTTCTTTCTACGTGATAGTTTGACAGTTTCATTATTACAACATACGAGAATTACACTACTTTGCTTTCAACGATTTACAGAGGGACTAAAAATATTTTCAAAAGGGAACAGAAATTACAGAGCACCGTGTTTCGTACTTGAACGGGAAATTAATTATCCCGAAGATGGATGAATCCCTTTCGATTCAATTATTCCACGAGTTGCACGATATTTGCTGTTACTGCAGGCACATGAAATGAGTTTCTTCCTGACTTTCTGTGCTGCATCGATCAATAACAAATAATTTCACAAATACGTCCTCATTTTCATTTTATATCTACCCGAATCGAAAAATGAATTCCTTTTTATTATATTTCTGTTATCGAAAAATCAAACACCTTCGCGAATTGATCATCTCGTTTTCTCATTTTTATCCTGACATTTATTTACAAAAGCGAAATTTATTTATCGCGAGAGTTCCGCGATACTTTTCAATTACCCAACAAGAAGGAAGAACAGGCGAATTCGCGTGATTTCGGATAATATAAAGTTTATATTATAAACCAACCGAAAAACAGCTGACGATGCTGTTTAAACTCTTCCTTCGTCGGGGAAAAACAAAACGAGCATCGTGGTTGCTCAGTGGTTTCATTAAATTCGATACAACAGAGTTCTGCTCTGGATGTTTGTTTCAAGCTTACGTTTAACTTTCTTCCACGCGTGGGAGCTTTTAAAGTCACGCGTTGTTGAAACAAGATCCACGATACAATTTAACGTTCATTCCATATAATCATCAACTTTGTGTTAATCCTTTAGAAACATTTTATATAATTGAAAAGATAGATTATCTAAGAAATTTGCTTAAATAATTTCAATTTTTAAAATCTACCAAGTTTCTTAAAAACTATGAATAATTCATGCAAAAGGAATGTCTTGAAAATATCAAACGGGTGATAAAAAAATTCCTCGGCATAAGAAATATATGTCAGGTCAGAATAGTTTCAGGGATGATCTAACATAGCTATTTCAATATCAAATAAAATTCTTACTCACGCGTGCTGTCGTACCGGATACCATTCAGCTCTTCGAGACAGGGTAGCGTGGCCACCGTTCCGGGAGGAGTTCTCGGCCAGCAGAGCAAAGAATCCCAGTTAATCTCGCATCCTGGCTGTTCATCTGGATGTTTTCCGACCGAGAGAAACTGCAATTCCTCCTGATGCTTGTGCTCCAGACACTTGGCAGCTTCGGTGTTCAACGATTCGTTCAATTTGTTAATATAGTGCAAGGCGTTCAACACGTAATTACTGGTATCTAGGACGGTGTCGTTCTGTTGCCAGTCCATGTTCGACTGAGGGCGAAGCGTCTTTCCGGCTTATCGCTGGCTCGAGTTCGTCGCTCGAACGGTCTCTGTTTGTTTTCGTACGATGCCCGAAGCGAAATCAAAATCTTCCAATACAGACCCTTCTTGTATTCTTATATTTCCTCTTTGAAATATTTCTGAATTATTTAACGCACTATGTATTATTACTATTATCCTTTGAATCTTTTATCAATGGAAAAATCCTTAAAATTTTCTATTCTTCTCTTAAAATAATTTATCAACGTTGAGAAATGAAAGCAGGAAATTTTCGTGAAAAACAATCGTCGATTAGCGAGAAGGGAGACATCCTTTTCAGACAGAAGAGCACAAACGACTCTATTTTTCACCGATACCTGACACGCAATTATTCTCTACTCTTACCAAGAGCAAAGGTATATCCTCGTACGACCGTTGGATTCTCCAAACTAATGTTGCTGATCCTCTAAGATCCTTTACCGTTAAAGAAGGTCTGGTTAATCCTCCAAGACTCCTTTCTCTCCTTTCACTTGTACGTTACCCTTCACCCTAAAGGCGACGATATTAACGAGAGAACCCCAGCGAATGCTTAATCCTTGGACGTGAGATTTACTTGCCCTCTATTATCAATCGATACGGCTCCTTGAAAACTGGTCCCTGATGAATTCTTCAAATTTTCGGATCGTTCTGTGTCGCCTGTTGAATGACCGTTTACTGGTTCATTGAATTCCACTCGAAGGATTCCGTTCACCAACGATATTGCGACTCGAGGCTGCCCTTTGATGTCTTCTGATCCGATAGGAAGATTTCATCGGAAGTACCTTGCAGGAAATTTCTTTGACCCTCTGTTCGTCAAGTTCGTTAGACTCGGGTCAAAGTGGTCGTGCAATTTCCAGTAACATAGATAAAAGAGACGATTGAAAATCATCAAAGTTCCATCGTACAAGACGATTTATCTTCTTCCTCGATTCTTTTCTTGTTAATGTAACACTGTATCATTCATTGATGGCTCGATGATGGTTGTGTTGAAATCGTTCTTCGCGAGATCCGTCGATTTAAACGCAAACACTTGGAACAGTCAGAAGTTTCTCCTCCATTGTCAGAGAACTGGCATCGCGTCGAACAAAGGAAACTGACGGCTACAATCTCTTCATCGAATGACGATTCGAGGCCTGTCAGGAAGTTTGAGCAGCCGAATCCGGCTCCGATTTCAAGTTCTCTTTATCAGACGGTACGTCGACACCGGAGCTATCGTTTCCGATTTTCTACGGTACGCGCGGCAACCGAGGCCTTTATAATCGATCGTTGATAGCTTCGTAAACGAGTTCGAAAACTTTAAACCAATCTCGCTTTGAGATTCATCCGCATCGCGTTAACTGTGATCGAACTTGGCCCGACGCTCTCGTCGTGCTGAAATTTCTAATTTGCCACGTTTTCGAGAACTTTCAATTCTACGATTATCCGCGTCTACGAACTTGACTCGAATTCTTCGAGGTTCAATATAATTCTTCGGCACCTTCGTACGAACCTTTCGGGTTCAACTTCGAAAGCATCCTCTTTAAATGATTGCTTCGAGCCGTTTATTCAGCCTCGAGCGAGACGCGGACTGCTAATTGCATTTCCGCCTCGGGATGACGAGCTGAAGAGGCCGAATGGAACGGAAATCAAGCGGAGAGTAGCTTGTCTACCGGCGAGCAGTGACACGCGACTGGCAGCGGCACGTGCTCCAAACTGTAAGGGTACCTTCCCTGAGAGAATCGGCGCGAAAACCTCGAGGAAGATGCGTGGCGAACAGGGGACTCCTCGCGATAACCTCGGCCAGATGTCCTGACGAGACACCCTCCCGGTGTCTGTCAACGGCCGTAGGAGACGGTACACAGCACCGATATGGATTTTAGCGTGTACCTGGAGCCGACGAGGGCAACTGCCTGGCCTACGATGCGTGCACAACGAATACAGGAGCATGCGCCACCATCGTCCTCTCGTCTCCTCTGTCTCGGTGCCTTCTCCTCTCACCTGTACTTCATTCAACTCCTTCTTCTCTACTTCATCTTCTTCATCTACTGTCACCTTGTTATCCTTCGTGGTTCTGGATGTTTCTAATGGTGGTCTTTCCCTGTTGATCCTTCTCCTTTCTTTTTTCAATTCTTTTCGATCCAGCCTGGGTTTTGATAATTTTTTATCTTGCCTTTCTTCAAGTTTATGAGGCTTATTTAATCATTTTCAGGTTCTTATTATTCTGTGACCTTCATTAGCTGATTCCTTTTCTTACTTTCTAACCCTGTTCACGAGTGCTTTATTCATGTTCTTTTATTCCTTTTTATACTTTATTTGCTGCTCTTCTGGACTTTATTACAAGTCATTCATTTTCAGTTTGTTTCTGCTCTGTTCTTACATTTTCCCCATTCGCTGGATGTTTTCCCCTTTTCCCGAGATTTCCTACTCGTTTCTCAGTTTATTCTTACGAGTTCCACGATGTTTTTTATGATTTATTTGTTGTTCCTCTCTACTGGGTTCAGTTTTCTTCTTATTTTCTTTGCCTTTGCTTTTCTTTATTTATTTTAATTTTAATTTCTCTATTTTCATACAATTCTATTTGCTTCAACTTTGCACAGCATAGCTATTCATCGTATATTAAAATGTTCCAATTCAAGAGAAAAGGGCAGATATTCTTTCTGAGAGTAATATTTTTCAAATTGCCTGTAAGCTGTTCCGTAGAGTTTATATTAAAGCTCGTCTCTGTTCTTCGTGGCGTCGAAAACAGACTTATTGAACGACCCTGTCCTTCTATTCAAGATCGATTTCCTCTCTGACAGTACTTCTTCTTCGCGACACCTCCGCTTCATTCGATTTCTCAAGGTATCTGCAATCAAAGTGATCGATTCGTACGTGAGACCGTTAGATCAACCGACCTTCGCCCTTTCAATCGCACAGATTTTCTTTTCCACCAGCGGAAAAATCAAACTTTTTGCCGCGTCTCGTACGTGCGCCTGATGTGGCCTTTATCAAATGTTAAAGTCTGAATTTCCGAGAATTTTCGAAATGATTTTCCGTTTGAAAATCGGTGTAATAAGTATGATTTTCGTTTTCATTCTGGGAAATAACATCCACGATATGAACGAGATTTTTAGGTGAACGTTGAAACGATGCCTGAATTATTCTATCACTTTTTCCGTTCGCAATTCGTTTACGTCGATCCGGGAAAAATGAACAACGGCAAAGGAGTTAAAGCTGAATATTTCGGTGGCGATATTGTCGTTTAGAAAATCGTTTCGTTCGGTATCGAATAATCGAGAAATTCCCTTTGGTCGGAAGGCTTTTCAAAATTCCGAACGATCAATCGTATCCCTGGGATAATTTTCACCGCGTTCCAGGGAGAAGCTCCATTTTATCGACTTTCTGTTTTGATTTATGCTATCCATTTTATTAATCCCTTTTCGTTCCATTTTCTTCCTTTTCCAACATTTTCTCCGGAATAGACTTTTTCTTTATTTTATTTTTTATACAGACAATTCCATGCTTTAAAAATGCAAAATCTAGAAAAATGCACTATTGTACAAGACAAAAGAAATAGAGGAATTTGGGGAAAAAAGAGGAAATTTATTTCCCTATCTGCATCATCTGATATGATACATCTTAATAAATCGCAATATAATTTCTTGAAATCGTATCTTTCATCTAAAATTATATTATACAAAAGATAAAGGAAGGGTGGCATTAATAGTCTACTCAGAAGGGTTGTATGCTAAACGTTAAAGTTCAAGATAATACGGATGAAGATCTACGATAACCCTGAAGAAGTCACGTTTCGGCTGGTATCTCGAAGTAATGCTTTGCATTTTCAGGATTGCTCGTCTATAAAACGAAGAATCAGGAAATAGATCCCTTGGAACGTGTGTATAAAAGGATTGCACTCATTGTATTGAACATCTTATCGTTAGTACAATTCTAAAAAAAGGTACTAAATAATAATAAATGAAAATTACTGTAAATTATTACTTGTAATTATTTTACAACCTAAGGCTTCGTTTTCAGAATATAATCAATTAAAAATTGGATATTCAACCTGTAGGGTATCTCGTTTAAACTTTATTAATGAACGAAGTTATCGATCATATTTCTCTTACTAATTTATTTCGTTAAAATAAATGATATACTACATTTTACCATGGAAGCATAAATGATTTAATTAGTCGTTGGAAATTTTATTTCACTACAAGCTCCCTATCCGAATCAACGATCTCCTATTGCCATTGATTTAATGGTTATCACGAATTTTTGCGATTATATTAGTTATACTGTTTTTTAAAACTGATTTAATTTCTTGTAATCCTCTTCGTTTTCATCGATCCAGAATATTTGCATTAACAATGAATATTGCACGAGATATCAAACATATCTGGAATCCATTAAACGGGGAGATGATCGTATTTGCTCGGTTCGTAATAATCAACTGGAAGGGTAGAAATATTTGAACAAAAGTAACAATAAAATCATGTATTTTGCGTGAAGCATATTCCTGATACAAGTTATTGAAAAACTGATGGTAAAATGACAAATTTGATTTCTCAATAGCAATAACCAATTTTTACTGTAATAATCGTGGAAAGATATTGTTTAGACTTTTCGTGACATTTTTCTTATCGAAATTATTTAAACAATTTTTAAGCTTACATGCTTATATTTAAATATTGAAGATAAGCGTTATTAAAGGTAATTGAAGTGAACGCAGCACGATTTAAATGATAATTTGCGGTTTACATTTTCAGCAGGAAATTTCGCGAACACGTTTATTTACAATTTAAATATTTTTGATATCCCCATAAATATTTAAACGTTCGAACAAAGTAAGCGATATGGAAGTATTCAAATAACCATTCTTATTGTTTAACGTTAAATGTATTCGAAAATTTTTAAATAAGTCCAATTTCAAGAGTCATTTTCATCCCTTCAGAGTGCACGATTGCTGATAATAGTAGTTGGATATTAAATATTCCTATCAAGTATTATGTCGTACTAAAAGAACATGTATCGCTCGCGTAACGTGGCTCGTAAGAATAAGAGGATTTAAAAGTATCGTAAACTTTGCGAAAGAAATAGAACATCGATCCTAACACCTGGCGGATTTGCATAAAAATGAGGATACAGAGCCACTGACTTTAAGTATTTAATCTGCTCGATGTTTTCAAGAGGATTACGATGAGTTATCCGCATTTGTTTCTAAGTTACGATCAAATAGTTCAATAAATCTGAGAAAAATTCAACAGCAAGCTTCAAATCATTTTTCTCGAGCATCAAACACTACTGCTGAATTTTCTAATTGTTTTTCTAACGAAAAATGTTAGCAAAGAAAATAGAATGAATATTTCAATTTAGTTTCGTGAAATCTCTCTCTCTTTGTCTCATCAAGTAGGAGGTTGTTTAAACAGAAAATCGACTCAAAATGAGCAAACTATCTAAGGTGATTATATTCAAAGAGGATCTTGCAGCAAGCAGCTTGTTTATCTTTCGTTCACAAGGAAATTGTTACTGGGGAGGGGAATATTTAACTATATTTCAATTTGAAATTAAAGCCAAATAATTACTGAACAACCCACCTATTGAAAAGCTAATTAAGAAATTTTTGTATCTCACTGAAATAATATTTTATTTAGATAACTTAATACTTTTTCGAAAAAACAGGAGAATTTGAACTTTTACGCTATTCATTGATACAAGGAAACTAATGGAACGAACGGTACAAAGGTTACAGAAAGAGAGAAATGTTTGCCAAGTAAATTTCATTGGATCATTTGAAAAGCACGCCACTAAAGGGTATCCATTTCCCTTAATTATCGAGTTACAGCGACTAATTAATTTCCTGTTCGAATAGTCGACGCGCCTACATCTTCAAGGGGGAAAATGACCCGAGGCTCGAATGTAATTAAATTCGTTAATACGCTTTGCCTTCTCTCAACTTTCTTTCATTTTTCCTTCTTCCATTGTTATAGTTGTCAAGAAACGAGCTTAATAGGGCCGTGTTTAAAAAGAAAAGACCCGATGCAACCTTCTTTGGAAGCAGAGAACACGAGATCGTTATTCCACAAGGAAATTGTATTTACTGAGACGCGAACCGTGAAATAGTTTCACCACGTTCGGTGGTACTTTGTGATTAAGTACATCATTTAAAAACAGACGATTCTAGGAAACTAAATAAATTTCAATACCGTGATCGCTAAGAATAAATTAAATACCCGAATTCAGCAACCTTGCGTTCGATAAAAAATAAATCGGTAAACATTAAACAAAATCTACCGGGTGTTTTCGGATTATACTACTTTGGTAAATAAACGAAACATCAGCACACACCCCGTGATTCTATTTTCGTTCGAAAGCAGAACATTTCATAAATACTTGCAGCAGTTCCATCCTTCCATCAAGGATGATCTTAATCGTTTCCTTCAAACATAAATTTAAAATCTCTTCTAGTTGAAAAATCTGTTAATTATCAATATTAATTTAGCCAGATAATTAGCATTCTAACAAACAAATTTTTAAAAGGCAAATCAGTGGTTAATATAATTAAACTATTTTCTGTAAAGCGTGTTCCCGTTACTCTGCACCAAAAAACATGAATTAAAACAAATTGATTGGCATTTTTTTAACAATTAACAATATATTTTAAAAAAGAAAAAGGCCTCGAACCGGCCCTGTTCTATGTTGAAGAAGGAATACACCCGGAGTATTTCATACTCAGCGAAAGGATCATCTTCCTTAACGAGACCGAACTCGAGATTCCTATCGCGATGGTTATATCCCTATTGTTTCAGCCCTACCATTTCTCAGCCAGGAGAAACGGGCATCAGGAAATCGTAAATGTGTGGGAGATCGGTATGGAATTTACGACCAAGCATGGGCTTTGCTTTTATTATAACTCCGCTGCAGATATCAGCGAACGTAACAACGAGACAAGTTTCTCGAAATTGTACAATTTAAGGGATGAAACTTCCTTGTGTCTGGTCCCGAATGGTACGAATAAATCGATACTACGAAGAGCAGGAATGAAGAACAAAGATAAGCTGTTATCCTATGCAAATTAAGAAATTAAGTAGCTGAACTAAATTTTGCCCGACTTAACCAACGTTCGCGTACCTCGAGGCCAACCAGTCTCAGTTTTCCATAATTTAATCCTGTCAGTTCTTGAAACTCAAAAATACCTGAAATCTAACGCTAGTTACCCGTGTACTTGATCTTGTTACCAAGTTTCATTCGCTTCAGCTCGATATACTCTGTGCTGTAAACGATTCAGCGCCCGGGATTGAGTTAAAAAATTTTGTATCAAAGAACTACCCCGCAATGCTGACACGATCAATCGGGTTACAAAACTCTTTTTCCCAAAAGGAATTCACACGCTTGTACGCCGCCAAAGTATCCATACTTTTACTTTAAAAAAAAAGAGCTACCCTCCATCCAGACCCACCTTAGTTACGCAAATGATTTCGTTACAGTGACCTCTTCTTTCTAACGTCATGTAGTCGAGTTAAAAGCCGATAAAAATGGGGGTGAAAATGGCCCCGTAGAGTGTAAGTTCCGCTAAACTTAATGTAAAATGTCAGTCAAGTATCGAATAGCTCGTTGAGATCAACGATTCGAGGAATGATCCATTAATCAAGCCCGTATCTTCCCATCCCCGGAAACCATCGATCTCCAGAACGTTTCTCCGTAACGGAAGTGGAGGTTCAGTAGTATAGCCGTCGTTATGACGCGACGCGTACTACCGGGAAAAGTAAAAGAAGGAAGAAGTGGAGAGATCCGTTGGCGATTCGCGATGTATCGTTAGAGTTTCGCTAGATAAACGAGCGAGCGAGTAAAGAGGAGAGCTGATATTACGCGCGAAAAGGCCCTTGAGCTTCGTCGACCTAGAAATCGTGTACCATCTACGTCAATGCCGCGCAACGAAGAATAAGGTTTAAACGAGATAGTAGGTAGCCACTTTAAGGCTGGTGATAAAAAAGAAATACAGATCCGATGGTCTTTCTTCGTCGAGACCCGTATCGAGTGTTATTTTAAAATTAAGAACGACTACCGTCAAGCAACTACCAACGTGAAAAGAAAAATTTCTTTTTAAAAATGAATTATGGAAACTGGAACTTTTTTAACGAGTTCTAGATCGACGACGCACCACATGCGTCCTACCATTTAACTATACGTATTATCCACGCGTATCTTGGACTATTAAATAAGGAAGAAACAAATTTTGAATACCATCATTAAATATAATGCGATAAAAGAGAAAATTGGGAAATTAAATTGATAAATTGTCCTTGCTTTTCATCAAGCAATTGACGAATCAAGGAGAGAACGATTACCGTGCCGATTTAGGATGGAACATTGTTCGAACAATAATATTCTCCCTCTTATTTGCTCGACTGATAAGAAACGAGGCATTATTTTCTGCATGAATTCATCGTTACTAAAGAAGATCACCTCTGAGATTGAATTAATAATCGTCTATCGTTTGCGTCACGGCAATTCGCAAAGCAGTTTTTGCTCGAAGACTTTCGATTTATGGGGAACAAGTCTCGATTGCTGTTCCAAGAGTAATGAGCCGGAATCTTAAAAGACGTTTCGCACGAACGTGCAAATGAATGTGAATTTAAATGAAGCAAGGTTGAACGGTGTTCCGTCGTAGGTCGAGTACAAATCGCGTAGAATTTAATTTGTTTTTATCTTTTTGCATACTTCTACTACGAAAAATATATTAAGACTGAATTAGAATTATTATTATCGAAAAATTCATTATCAGAAGTATAAAGAAATGCAGAGGAAATTGTTGAAAGCGTTTACTTGACTTTAAAAAAAATTCCGCCATTATTAAATGTAGAATATTGGCGCCATATTTTTTTACTAATACTACTTACACATACTGCGTGACTCATACACTAAACGAAACAAATAGCAAAAGGTAATAAATTAAAATTATTGTCTCACCTGAGAAATACGATGAAAATAGAATTGTAATCTTTTCTGATAACCAGATCTCCAAGATTCTTTAACTTTATTCCAAATAAGCTTTAACACTATGACATTTGCGTAAATGTTACACGAACAATTTCACGGTTGCTTCCAATGAAACGATAAAATCGCGTTGACCCTTTCAGTGCCGGTAAGCAATTTCCACTGAAACTACTAGCTGCAGGCAAAATTTGAAAATTGCCGATCTTGATTGACGGACCATTCCCGCTAGTTATAAAACGTAATCTGCCAATCAGTTTCTCTTGCGTCCCTCCCGTACACTAATACGAGTTATCCACAAGTAATACTTAGGCTATGTTGCATTTCCTGAATGCATTCGTGGCCTCCACGCTTTATTTAGAAGTTTTACTACCGACAGCCCGCACTTCACGAATTTCCAAACACCTTACGTTCGCCAGGAAGCATTAAAAACTTTACCACTTCCGAACGGTGCACGCACCGTGAAAATACTGATGTTACTATGATTACGCGTTTTCAAATTTTCTGATCGCCGATGGTGGCGCCCTAATAAGCACTGTTTAACAAATTACTATCGGGTCGTCGAACTATGCAACAGGTTTTCGAATACCGCGCAACTGCGCAATACGCGATCCTTTCCCGCCAATTCCTTTTCGTAACGGTCGTTAGTGCGTTGTGCGTCGTTTGAAAATTCTGAAGAACTTTATGGGTTTCGCTTGTAAAGTGTGGAGGTATGTAGATATTACATTGATAACGATACTTCAGGTGTTATTTACGAATATTTTGCATTGTCTAGAAGGGGATCTCGATGAACTGCTTATCTTCTTCAAATATTAACACGGTCAACAATGTTCACCGAGGAACGCCATGCTTTATCTTACGAGATACAACCGGTTTGAAGAAATACAAGGTAAGTGCCTCCAAAATAATTTGATTATTTTATTAAAAATTTTAATAACGAAGTGGTAGATATGAAGTAGTAAATAATCGACGACTGAAATGCAAATTCACTATTCAAATTTTATGGATAGAATTTCCATAATTTGTATACGATTCAAAACGTGTTCGGTTTAATGTACACCATTTTTAATAATTATTTGAGATTTTGAGCTAAAAAAGCATTCAAAAGTATCTATATAATAATATTTTTATTGTATGAATAAAATAATTGGTAATAGCACATAAAGTTAAAAAAATTACATCAGTTCAATGTTTAAATAAATATACAAGTAGTTTATAGATATTTGCTTGAGATTCTGCACGCAAACTAAAATCAATGGTACTTCACATTCCATAATTAAGTACTTCAGTTTTTTATTAGAGTTAGGTTACTCTGAATTTTTATTTTGTACATAAAATTCATTTCAATAGAAAACTAATTTTATTATCAATTTTTTCGAACAAATATTTGCATGTTTTTCACCATTTACCCCATGTACTCTTTCAATAAACAAAAATGTTATATTGTTCCATCTAATACATAAGGCACATAAATTACTAAACTGCAACTATTACTAGATGAAGTTATGAATTTTATAAATATCAAAGTATTCAACAAAGTTTTAATGATGCTACAAGATGCGTCTGATAAATATTTTACATACCACATGAGAATAATGTATTTTTGTTAAAAGAAACCTACTATAAAAATATAATATGTAAAAGTGCTATAATACTCGCACCTATTGGCTAACTTTATCTTATATAAATAGATATACCATCAAGCCTAATACTTCTGTACATTATTAACAGAATACCTCCTTGAGCATGTTACTAATTCACAATGTCCTTTGAAGTTTTCTTCACTATAAATGTTCTGTATCCAGAACACTTTAATTTTTTTGTCAATATTATTGATGCAATAATTTCTTATTGTGGATCCAACACACTCTTTTCCTGATCAGTTAATATTTGTTGCCATTATAGATGCACTGCACTATTATACACATTTCACTTGTAATTAATCATCAGAAAATCTCTAATATTCTCATCATGGTTTGTGCATATCATCTTGTAATTCATTTTCAACTTCATCATTACATATGTACATTGAATCTGAAATGTTTCCACCTAAAACAAAATATGCTTATGAATATGTATTCATAAATTATCTTAAACCCATTGTTTGAAACAATGCAGTTTGTTTTTGTTGTCTTAATTGAATTTGAGAGATTAAAATTATTTTACTAGAGTTTGCTTTCAACTGTTGTAGAAAAATTAATAATCACAAATCGATACAATATTTACTACACAATTTTCACATACAATGCTTATAAAATAGAATATACCATTTATTAAACAGAACATTGATAAGTAAGAAGTGTAACAACTGTGTAAAGTGTTAGTATTTCTTACTAGTAACAAATAATGGCTATAGCTTCTTACATGCAACCATTTATCATGCAAAACACGTTTGTCTTATTTTAACACTCAGCCAACCGAATGGGGAGATCTTCTCATTTGGTTGACTAAGTGTTAATAACATATTAGAGAATTGTTTTAGTAGGCAAGCTTCATCTTCTTCTTTTACATAAAGTATACAATTATGTTAGAAAAATTGTAACATTAGAGTCGTACATACTCCACACCCAGAAATGTACAAATATTACAATATGAAATATTAATATCATCATTGAAACCTCTTGAGCACTATTCAAACTAAATAGAAAAACCAATAACCAAATCAAGTTAAGATTGGATAAGTAGGAATAAAAGTTTTCTTCAAATAAAATAGAACAAAATATGTAAATGGAAAATGTACAAGAACTAATATAGAAATCAGTATGAATGAAAAGAATAGAAATTCGATAATCAATTTAATTATATAATATCTTCAAGTACTTTAAGTATACAGTTTGTAATTTAAAATCAAATCAACCTTTTTAAGAATATTAGTTCATTTTCAAATGCATTAAACTGATTATCGTTCTAAATAAAAAATATGAAATCATGAAAATAAATTATGTACCGGGTTTACAGCTTACTATCAGGAAAGGCCCAGTGATGTGATTTATAAACGTGTTGATTCAGCTTGCCCATTATTCTTAGAATCTAGATATTTTTCTGCAAGAAAGATGTTTGCATATTATACAAACTTATTTTTGTATACATTCCACATTAGCCATTTATGTTAAATTGGGTTAAAAACTGTAGAATTCTATTTTTTAATTGTGGGCTTATTAGTTGTGTGTGTGATTTAAATTTTATTTTTTTACTTAAACCCTTTTTGCACTATTCAAATGAATTCGAAATAGTTATTTTTATAAACAGTTTAAGATATATCTTTACAAATAAAACATAATTTCTCTGATTACTTTCAAAAGAACCTTTGATGCTTAACTTGTTAACAAAGATTAAATTGTAACATTTTCTTACTTTTGGCCTTAACATCTCCCCATTTAACTTCAAACTTGCGAACAGTTGATACACTGTGCAAAAATAATCACATTTTAATTAAGCCAAAAATTTAACAAAAATTTCAATAACATCCTCGATAAAAAGAAATTATATAAACGACATTTAGGACCCAAGCAATGTTACTTTATTTAATTTATCAAACATTTACACATCTTGCAGATAATATGTACGTAATAAAAGCATTAGCGCATTATTTTTTTTTTTTTTTTTTTCTTAAATATTCACATTATTGTTGCAAATAGTGCTTCCAATACAAGACAATTAGAAAAAAAAAAGTAAAACGTGTCCCAACTCATGTATAAACATTTATTATCAAACATTAAGCCGTATTAGTAGCGCTTCTCATACGAACATGCAAATAAGATGCCAAGACAAATTTTTATTTTTTTCTTCAAAGTATTTTCATTCTCTTTCACCCACCTGAGATGGTTAGTTCTGCTAGTGCTTTGTCCTTTTGTATATACAATGCTGTAAGGAAGAAAAACAGGCTTCCAATGACTTCTACGAACATGGTCAGAAATAAAGCGTATTGTAAACTTCGAAACTCGATAAGCGTGTTTTCAAGATCGTATGGTGTCGATTTTTCGGATATACTCGAGCCTGGAAGAAGAACTTTTTTCAGTCCTTCTGACAACTGAAAATAATTGATTAATTTGTATTAAAATAATCATAAACCATTGACGAAGAAAGAAATGAAATTGAAACGAAATAGAAGAAGAATAGAAACAGAAGATATAAAAAAAGAAACAGAATGCTGAAAGTGAATAGCACATAATACAATGTTTTTTAATTATTAAAGATATTTACCAAACCAATAAGATAAGGACTTCCTGCATCTCCAAAAGCATGAGCTATAAGTATCTGGAAAGCTTCTGCTGTAGATCTTCTTGTTGGAATCACTACATACTATAACAATCCAGTAGAAACAAACTTTGAGAACATGTTTCATCTTAATTTCTAATTAAGAAAACAGATACCAGATTGAGTTACATACCAATAATATGTCTGCAACAATAGACCAATTTAAATTTAATGATAACTGTCCAAGGAATACTAATATATAACATACAACAGAATTTGTATTGGCAGTTAAAGTTGCAAAGAACAGTAATGGTACACTAATAAGAAGTCCAGCAGCACATATTAGAGGATCAGCTTGATGCCAATATACTCTTAGTCTTTGAGCTAGGTATGAACCTAATGGTACTCCTATTAAACCAGCTGCCATTCCTATTAATCCGAATTTGTACGCAACACTGAAATATGTAAAACACGATTAAAAACTACTGTGAAGACAAGAGTCAGATAGATGAAAATCTATCATGGAACATACTCATCTGGATCAACATTGTGTGCATTAGGATGTAATTTAAATCCCAGCTGTAAAAATGTTGGAGCCCACCAAGCCAATGCTCCAGCAACAAAAGCTACACATGTGAAGCCAGCAGTAGAAAACATAAAACTAGGACTAGAAAGTACAAAAGTAATGTGAAATATAAGAAGATATATCACATTTACAATTTACATTGAATAATTACTTTTTTAATAATGCTTTGATGTCACTTGACCATGAAGTGCTTGTCAAATGGGCTCCTCCTTCTCTTTCTCCTCTGATTGGATCTCTTACTACTGTAAGAAGTAAAATAATTGCGATGATACCTAAAGCTGGAGTGACGCGTAAACCCCATTGCCATGCACCGGTAGCTCTCGCTGTTTCGCCACCGACTATATATCCTAACCCGCTAAATATAAAATATTTAGTCATTAAATTGAAGTGTAATTTAAAAATTATATTAGTACATTTTTAACTTACCTTCCAACCGGTATTGCAAAATAAAACAGTGCAAGCATTTTAGAACGTACATCTTTAACAAACAAATCACTTATTATTGTTGGAGCAATTGTGGAATAACTGGCTTCACCTATTCCAACAAAGGCTCTGAATAGGAGAAACCATCCGAATGACTGAAATAATTTTATCATACACATTACAAAGAATCTCTGAAGACAAGAAAAGTTCTTGGATCCTTAGTTGCAAACTAGGACAAGCTTCCTGCTTAAATTACCTTCATGTAAGAACCAATGAATGTTGTTAAACACCATATAAACACACCACTGCTCATTATAACTTTTCTGTTGTAACGATCACCCAAGTATCCAAACAGTGGTGCAAATATCATGTAGCTTAAGATGAATGCAGTCTGTAGTAATCCGGACATATCATTGCCAATATCGAAATCATTTTTAATATTTGTCAATACTCCTGCAACAAGTTGCGATCGCATCCCATGAATAATTGTAGAGAAATAATGAACCTTATTCTCATGGTATACAAAAGAGGATAGTACAAACCGGCGATCGTAAAACGATCCATGTAATTTATAAGGTTGATAAAACACAATACAAAGATTGTTATCCAATCATTCCTGCTGACCATCCTAACGTCCGATAGTATTGTACCTTGTATTCGTTTTTCTCTAGAAGTGTTTTGTGCATTCTCTGCATTCACCGCATGATAATCGTACGGCGATGCATTAGCAATAATATCTTCCTCGACCATGACTCGGAAAAATGTCTATCCGTGCCAATTGTTACTCGCATTGACACGTATTTGTTCTTATAAAAATATTCTAACCTCTTTCCAACCGTGGCATAACCTTAAAAAGACTTAGCCTACAGGATGCAACTTATTTCCGTGTACTGTACTAACATCACTGCTATGCACCGATGCATATTTGCGACTTAATTGTGAAATTCCACTATTACAATTTTACGAAGTCGACGTTTTAATCATATTTATGTTAATGATATATCGTTCCTGTGACAACGTCAGAATATCACGCGTTTTATGGATGACGACATGTATATGCAAGCAGTGTGATGCAAGTTCGACAACCATTAAAAGTTAACACTTCAATGTTTATCCCAGTTATACTTGGAAATGTTTTATGTCTTATCAATAACACTGCAGGAGTTCAAGTGCAGTTTCTTTTTATTTATGATATCTCTGTATGCTAATACGAGCATTTGGAAGTGGGAAAATCTAGGGGTAACTAGGGAGAGACTGGGAAGAACCTAGGGATACCCAGATTAGGAACCTCCTATCTCCCCACATAAAGGACACGAATAAACAAGGGGGGTGGTGAACAGTTGCTTATAACTGTACAGTAGCGATATTAAAATGTATTGTTGTTGAATATTTTGGGTTCTTTGACTTCATTTTTTATATCACTTTTGATAATACGTACCTACCTCAAACAATTATATTGGATAAGATAAAAAAAATTTTCGTCCGGAGAAAAAATGCAATCTTTATTTTTGTAAAGATACCTTTTTTACTCTTTTTTTTACAATGCTGTTATAATCACGAAACACGTTCAGTTGTGCAAATTTTTTTCGAACGTATTCAGTCTGAAGGAACATGTTTTTCTTTAAAAGTCATCCATTGATTACACTGGTCTTAATTACGTTCGTGAAACAAGTTATTTTAATCCTTCTTATTAATTATCGTTTCAATAACATTGAGACAATTTACTGAACTTTAATTATCATGAATGAATATTATCCAGCGAGTAAAAGGTGTAAATGGTGAAAAACAGTAAGGCAGAAGAATTCATAATAACATATATTCTATGTAACACAATACTTACATAGGTATATCTATGTATATATATATTTTTTTTTTCGAATGTCTATATATGTATATATATAATAATAATAATTAATCATTATTATATATATAATATATCGAATATAATAATTAATAAAATATAATGTTTAATAATGTTAATCGTGTATGACTACAATATATTATTATCTCATGTTTTCTCATCATCGTCATCGTCGTCGTCGTCGATTGTTAACTACTTTCTACCATTTATTATATTGATCTTTTTGTATGTAATAACAATGATCTCAAAAGGCTTATATTATACAATATTCGGCTAGCGTTATGGATAGCTTGAGATTTCTTATTTGTCGTTAAATAATTATCTCTCTCTTTATGATACAATAGATTTATCTTTTCAACTTCAATAACTTATTTCTTTTTATTATTATTCATCTGTATGTGTTTATGTTGTAAATGTATTTCCACTATACCTCCATCGTATCTTCGATGCAATTCAGATACAGTTTTTTTTATGGTATTAAACGCATATTAACTGCGATTATGTTGATTTTTATGATCTTATCACATGCGAGAAATATCTGCGTCAATACTTTTAGTGGATCTTTTTATTTTAACGATAAAATCCTTAGAATTGATCGGTTGGTCTGTCAATCAAAACTTCTTCCGCTGTTGGGCTAGTGATACCTAAAGAAAGCAAATACTTCGATTCAATATTTCGCGGATAAAGATCGAAAGAAATCGAACTTCACGGTAGTTTCTATCGCTAATCTGTAATTATACATACATATATTTCATTATACCCTGTCACATAATTGTGTGCTTGAAATATCAGTGGAAACGAAAGTAGCGAGTGAAAAGATAACTATGATTTGCTTACCACTCAGTTCGATTTTGTAACGAGTAGAAATTACGTAAGCTGTATTAGTAATAAAAAGTATCGCAAATTGGAATATGCTATAATAATCGTTAAATATTTCGTAAGTTATGTTGCGAACATGTACACTGCCGATCACTCGATATCGCGTGCTAGATCACGAGTACTCAAATACTGTAACACATATATTGACCCAATTTTTGGGTCTAGTAAAAAAGGTGCTAAAACTGCAGAACGTGTATTTTTAAAATAGTGGATTGAGTGATAAGTTCGTTCAGAGTTTAACAATCAACAAAATGAACAGTGAATGATTGGACGTTTCGGTGTAAAAGTGTTAAAATGTTTTATTTAGAAGCTAATTCTTATGAATAAATCAAATGGTGAATGATTGAATGTTGCAGTGTGAAATGTGTAAGTTATTAATTACGTTTTTAACAAAGGATACTAACCCTATACTACCGAGGATTACATTTTTTATAGGAAAGTCTGGACCATCGTGCTACCAAGTGCTAAGTTTGTAATAAGTGTACTAATTGCTACGCTATCAAGGACTAATTTTTTAACAATCTTGTAAAAGATTGGGATACTAATGACGCTATACTATCGAGGATTAATTTTTTTTTCAGAAAGATAGGCTGCTTATGATGCTACCATGCTGCAATTAAGGTAGCAAGCATTAATCCATCCATTATGCGTCACTAATTATTATTCAAAAATACAGAAACACAGAAGTGTATCTGAATTTTTGAACCATGAAAACGAAAGCTTGTAAATGATGAACCCCTGAGTTTTCGTGTTATGACCCAATTTTTTTTTCAGAAAGATAGGCTGGTTATGATGCTACCATGCTGCAATTAAGGTAGCAAGCATTAATCCATCCATTATGCGTCACTAATTATTATTCAAAAATACAGAAACACAGAAGTGTATCTGAATTTTTGAACCATGAAAACGAAAGCTTGTAAATGATGAACCCCTGAGCTTTCGTGTTATGACCCTACACCGCATCCCGTTTATTTTTCAGGAACAACGTTGCAGCTACGACCAGAAGATGGAAAAATTGTATCGAATCAATTTTGAATAAATTATTTGATTTTCTGATTTTGAGAATTCTGTTTTCATTCCCTCATCTTCAATGTAAGGTCTAATAAAAAAATGTTTAAAACACTAGTCTACCCCTATTTATATCATTACAAAAATTCCTCGCCAATGTAAAAGTAATTATGTCAAGTGACTTATGTGATACGAAGTAATTTTTAATACGAGAGCTTTCGGTCGGCAGTGTACAACTTATTACTCAACGAAATAAGTACACGTAATTTTGCGATTCAGAACAATTCTCAATAGAAGTTTTCAATCTAAATCAAAAACTTATACTGATTATACAGACGAATTCTGGAAGAACCAATATAAATTTGTCCTTTTCTACTAACGTCGAAAAGATGTTCGGTTTCATCAAAATCTCATAAAACTTCCCGAATGACCCAATAATAGTTACGTCAACAACGATTTCATCGTTGAACGCATGAAATGTAACTTGCTTTCTGTGCTCATGATTGCCTCGCTACCCGAACGTTTCACGGTAATTGCAAAAGTAATTGGAAAAAAAAAAACTCCTTCCGCGTTCAGCCGGTCGATTGTTCCGTAATTTAGGGTTAGGCCCGTTAGGTTGCAAAAAAAAAGTACGGTTTCTTGCATCATCGAAACGGACTGTATAATTACGAGCTAGTACTCGCGTGTCTTACGAATCCGTCGAGCGTATTATCGACAGGGAGACGGTGCAATCATGTGCCATAGTCCAAATGACAAAAAAGGTTCGTCGGACAATGGTGTAGGTGTGTTTCGGTGTGCATGAAAGGCCGTTTCATGAAATACGATTCAGCGACACCTATGCTCCGCTGTTTTTTCTCTCCCCTTTGGTTCTTTGTGCCGGATTTCGTTTACACGCGAATTAAAAATGGGGGCTCGTATAAAAACACAGGGCACCTATTGCTATTAACGTATTGCATACACGATTTTTCTTTTTCCGATCCATTCGACAATTCAGGGACTATTCGTGAATTACCCTTTTATCTGGACGATCGAGAAAGTTTCTTAAAAATGTCACTGTGGGAAATATTTATACAAGGTATCTGTACCTAGGTGTGTATGAGTATGTATGTACAGTGGTGTCGAAGTTTCTTCATAAAATATGAATGTCAATGTAGTGCCAATAATGGCTGTCGATACGAAGCAGTATGTAAATCGCGCAAAATTCATTTAGACGATATATAGTCTTCTCTACGTCATCTACGATCCGCTCGAATGATCTTAGTTATGTTCGGATCGAATCGGTTACGAGCATTCAGTATCGGATCGGTGTTTCCGTCAAATTCTAGTGGAAACGTGTCTCGCGATGAGTAGTCGAATTTTTGTCTGGGGTTCCCTAGTTTTATCGAAATCCCCATGATGTACTTTCAAGTGTACGATTATCCAAAGACTGGTTTTTTTTTTCTTTTATTCATAAAATTGCATTATTCTCTGTTGTACTACTCATTATTAAAACCCACCGACAATCGTCAATCTCGTACGCCCAGTTTCGATATCCGAATCCGATCCTGATATGCTTTTATTATCTAATCCCGTGTGTGTAACACGTACAAAAACAGGCCGTGCACACAGCACGAAGATAAAAACAGTCTTTGCGTAAAAGGAGTCTTCGTATGCGTGGCGCGCCTCGATGTTACGTACCTTAATATATTTATCAGCTAATAAAACAAACGAAACTCACCGCCGTCTATTAATCTAATTAGTAACGCGTCGGCGACGTGCATTCGAATCATTGTTCCATTAAAGGTTCTCAAACGGAACGTCTGAAAAGCATTTTTATCGTACCTGAATCGACAATAGAAATAATTACTATTATCGTTAATGGATCACTTTCTATATATATCGCCAGTGCTACCAGCGACATGATTCTTCTTACTACCGATTAACACCGGTAAAAATAATCCTCCAACTAGGTAGTAATTATGTTTCTTTTTTCTAATAAGCATCATCTTGATCCATATCACACTGCAGATTCTTAAGAAGTATGACTAATTAATATCGAAAATTTCGTTGCACCATTTCATAGTATTCTTTTTCTCTGAATATATACGTGTATAATGATATCGTTAACGACTACGGTAACTACTTTATTGATACTATTGATCTAACGAATGCAAGATTGTTAGGACTTACAAGAAGTATAATGATCAAGATTTTTCTTGATTCATTACCAACCGTTCATCATGGTATTTCTCGTGCAATTATTAATATGATATCGTGACGTGTTCGACGGAATAATGAAATCTATTTGAGTAATTAGGAGCACCGTTTCCAGCAAGCACAAACCAACGTAACTTCAATGGACTGTCATTGATCGATTAGGGGCACTGTACTCTCTGATATTGACCTGTTACGAATCCATGTTACTTTTGTGCTCGTAGAAAATTTATTCAAGATCTTTCTGATCGTTTTCGTTATGAAAATAATTAAAATCAGTTTTATTCGTACAATGCTTCGACTATTATTCTTGTAATACTCGGGTTTATTTAATTATACATACTATGTCGGAAGATATGAATAATTGTAATCTACAATGTTTCAATAATATTTCTGTAAGATAATTACATTGTTAAATTAAATATCTGAGGAGTACCAGAATAATGGTCGAAACGTTGAATAAATAAAAGTTATTCTGACGCTACTGTTGACTTAAGAGTCTATGAATTGTTTCGCTAGTGAGAGAAATGAAGAATCGGTGGAATTAAACAAATAATTTGGAGAGAATTTTTTAAAATTTAATGCTTTCTTCTATAGTATTTGTTAATAGTAATCTAACATCGAAGATAATCGTCGGACGAAATCGTTTTAGAAATTCGATCGGCTAGAATACTAGAGGACGACGCTTTTTAGTTTTTAATTTAGAAAACGAGTCCACAACGTGGAATCAACCCTTTCGTTGTACACGACGTATGTACTGTGTTATCGTGAATCAATGAAGAGATTTTCTTTAAGTAATTAACAGCATCGTTTATTAAACTTGGCGATTATTACACAATAAACGTCACAACGAAAGGGTTAATCAGTTTCATTTGGGCGGGTGAATAATCCGAAGCTGCGATTATGTCCCATTATGGCACGAGTATTAAAGCATCTAATACGACAAAAAATGTTTTCCTTATATGTAACTCATTTACATATTTTCTTTTTGAGCAACGAAATAAATATTATGCAGTACACAGGTGAAAGACCGTTGTCAGTCGAAACGATAAAAAGAAAAAAAAAAAAAAGAAAAAATTAACGACAATCTAATCACTAAATTATCTACATTACTATCACAATGGAACGTTAAATGTAATCATACACAGCTTATTTAAAAGGTATTCGATACACCGTCCCTTTTATTACCTTGCCAATATATATAAAAAAAATGTAATATATATTTATATGTGTGTATATATATAAACTTCTCTAATAAATAAAATAATATAGAAAATAAAATGTTTTCTAAAAGTACAATTTGGCAATACACGTGTATCGCAAACTATATTAAACCCTAATAGCACGGTAATTTGTCGGCTATTTTAATTATACCTAACGTTAGTTCATCCTCTTCTATTTCTAACATTTATTATTTTGTTTGTTAAAATAGAATTAACAAAAATAAATGAAAGATAAAGTATTCAGATAAGATCAACACGAGAGATTTAAAATTATTATTCATTGCCCAATTACAATTAAACATATGCATTTTTAATTGATAAATTATAACTTTGTTCCTCGTCTTTCGACTATGTCGTGCGACAATCATTCACGTGTCAACGAACTAGAATGAAACAAAAAAACCCATTAGGAACCAGTGTTGCATTCATGCAAACTTTGTTTTTTTTTTTTTTTAATTAATGTACATTATTAAATTTTGTGGATGTTTTTTTTTTTTTACTTTTATTGGTCCTTAATGGGTTGATTTAGATAAAATAAATCAATAAGTTGATACGATTTTCTTAGAGAGGTTTATTACCACAAGGAGAATAGTCTCGACGATGAAATTTTACACTCAAATATGATTCAACGTTCATCGTATAATTCTTTGCTCAGTCGAAATACGTTAGAATAAATTCGAGTGTCGTGTAATGTGACATAACCACAGCATTTTATAATCTACGATTCCTTTTTGTTTTTACTCTCGATAAATAGAAGCGTCTGCAGCGATATACGGATATAAAGAATTTCGCATACGTTTAATAAAAAAAAAGAGTCGCTGGTTGCACGACGTGCCAGCTATCTTTCGGATCTTAAACATGGTCAGCTCGATAAGTGTTCGGCAGATCGAGTATTGCGTTAATACTAACAAGTCCCACTAACGCATTGATAATAAAGATTTCGCGTATTTTTTATTTCCTTTTAACAAATCACTTCACCGTATCGTTAGTGACGCTAGTAAATAGCTTCATTTTTAAAAAATGATGATAATGACGATGACGATGGTAATAATAATAATAATCAATAAAAATTAATCATTAATAATGGTAATAATATAATAATAATAATATAATATATAATATAATATACTATTTTAATAATATGTCTTTGCTTTGCGCGATCGACCAAGTGCAACGCGGTCCAAGACGATCAGGCAAGAGACCAATGGTTCTTCAGCCCTAAAATGGTCGTATGAATAATTTTAATTAACTAAACTTGTTTATCTTTTATATGGAAAATCGCTTGTATGATATTTCACATAGCAAGGATGTTTGTGTGGGAAAGGCTAGGTCCTTCATCTTTCCTAAAGATGTCCACTGTGTAGGGTTGCTAAATTCTAACATTATTTCTAATTATAATTTGTTGCTGAGAACAGACGTCTGATTTTTTTACAATTTTATAACGGGTAACCCTTGTCATCCACGCTACCATTACAGGGTTAATCGATTCGAACATCGATTCCACGAACAACCGTCTACTTGCCTTCTCCTCCCGCGTCGGTTCATCGTTCGCGACGCGTATTGAAACAGGTACATGCAATGAAAAAAATTTCGTCGCTTCCAGGATGCCCTTTAAACAACATAGGGCATCAAAACACACACCCCCCGGTCGACCGCACGATCAAAAATTGCATTTCATTAAATCGATATGAGATCGTTTTGGTATGAATTAATCCCGGCCATTTCCGCGACGCGACGTTTGTATCGTTTTTTCATCTTTTTAAATCTTTTTTCTATGTTTGCCCCTTTTCAAATCTCGACGATCGTGCTGGACCGAGCCCTGGATCGATATATATCCCCCGGGCGATCGTTGTACATAACGTGTGTCGTTCGACGTACAATAGCAGGATCTTTCCGTTTTTTTTTTTTTTTTTTTTTTTATTTATTTCTTCGTTTTTGATCGGCCCTAATTGGCTCGCTGGTCGAATCGATCGAATATGTTCCGTTCGGTTAGTGCGTGCGGACTATGCTCGGTCGTATCGCGACCGTACAGTGTTGCCAACGGAAAACGGATTCTTTGGCACGTCTGATTTTAGGGTAGCTCTTTCGAGATTGACAACGATAATGATTAATATAATATTGCAAGAAGGAGCAAGATGCAGAAAGACTATGAAAGAAATCCAACGAGTTTCGACGAACGATCGGATTGATCGAACGAAACGTACACGTACCCGGCAACACTGGACACGCGAGAACGACTTAATTATCTATTCGTGGTTTGAGGATAGTCGGCACACAAAATGTCCGGGGCCCGATACAACATTTGCCCCCGCCCCGGACTTTTGAACGTTTTCAAGCGACCTATTTTTAAATGCGATACAATATTTATACAATAATATAATGCGAGTCCGTGAACTCGACTGCAACGAATTCGACTAAGTAATATTGACGTTTATATCGCGACAAGATACATATGAAATATAGTTTCAGTGCCTAACTGTTTCGAGCCATCTTGATCGAAGCCGGTGACAACGACGACGATGACGTGAATTCGATGTTACTTCTCTGATTTTTTGCTTCGATCAAAATGGCCGTTTTGTGTTTGTTTCTGTTATGAAATAAACCTGAGGTATCTTTAAGTCTGTAAAGCTTCCGTTACGAATCTGTTTTTCCCGTTCTCCAGCAATTTAAAGCGTTCCGCGTTAGATGTCTGTTTCTTTCTGCTGCGTTTCTTACGCTGTTTGGAATTTCATTTTGATGATTAGAAAAATGTAGTAGCGGAGAATATTTGGCATTTCGAATGGCACGATCGTTAATTCTTCTATCGCGACTTTTCCATGTGGTGTGCCTGACGTGTGAATTCCCGCCAAAATTCTCTTTCGTTTTTCAACACTCCCCGAAACAAAGAAGTTAAGGATGCAACGTCGGGTTATTCCCTTTGTTTTTTTTTCTTTTTCCGTTGAAGAGTCCGAGGAAAATAAAGATTCTCGTCTTACGCGTGCCGAATAATACTACTTTTTTTTTGCTCGATAGTACCAAATGGTCATCGTCAAAAAATTCTCTTAAAAGTATCGAAAAATTGTTCGTATCTTGGATACGATTATTGTGATTATTAAAAAAGAACGGCTACAATAAATGAAAGGATAGTATCTATCCCTGCGACACGCTAAAAACCGTCAGTAAAATGTTTAATTTCAATAGAAATTTCGACGTTAAAAAATTGTTACAATATACATATACGGTGGTCCACCAAAAATGAAACACCTATTATCCATTTTCAGTTAACGATACTATCGTGATTCATTTTGGAATCTAACGTTTAAACATGATTATCATTAAACGATTACATGTTGTCAGAATCAACATTTAAATCTACAATTCTTTTTTATCCAAAAAGGATAATAATTTATACTAAAGAATTATCATCGTACATAATGACGTAATTAATCACTTGAATAAATGCTCATCCTTCTAATTTTACGAATAAGAATGCAAACTTTTTCAAATTACATTGACAAAAATGATTTTTGCCACGAGCATATCTTTGCTAACAAAGAAGATAATCAAGTGTCCTGTTTCTTGTTGGACCACGATGCGCTATAAAAACGTATAACAATAACGATATGCAGCGTCATCGCTATATTCTTTTCGTAGCATTATTCGGCGTTCGATCAGGATTATTTGGAAAATCCGATTTCAATAGTACATCCAAGAAGCCACGATTAGGATTCGAATTTTGACCTAATGAAGGAACCTATTTGGACGGCAATTACTTTCTATTCTATCAACGTAGTCTCACGACTTTGCTTTCCTTCTTCTCATTATTTTTCCATTTCGTTTTTCATTTAATTTCCTACATCCTGGTCCTTGATCTACGATGTATTCCTTGCTACTTCTTGCGTTCGATCGAGCACAGTGACATAGGTGTTAACCGTTTGAGTGCCATATTGAAAATTGATAAGTGCCATCGCATTGGCCCTAACTTAGTTTACTGTTATTGTTATAGAATCTCGAATCGTCTCTTTAACACGAAACGGATGAATGGCACTCAAACTGTTAATATACTTGCATACATTGCGTCCACGAAACTCTTTTTTTTTTCGGCTAACTCAGCTAACAAGAATCTAAGTACGTAGACAAAACGATTAAGAAAACGAAAACACTTTGTATAGATGACGACAATCGATAAAAGAGAAATACGGTGGAACACGATTGGAGATACGATGTCTTTGGTTCGGAAATACGAAATTGTGTGTCGCGAAAAAATAAAAAAACCAAACGTAATACCGTCACGGTGATCGTGTGTGTGTATCCTGATTTTTCATTCGAATCTTACGCGGTCGTTGCACGTGTCTGTAATTCTGATACTCCTTCGGTGTTTTTGATATTTTCTCGGCGAACCACTTAATCTCGCGTAACGCAATGTTAATATGTGTGTATATATATATAGTACGTACGTATATATTAAATAAATCAGTACACTGTTGAGATTAACCGTAAAATTATGCAAGCAAAACGAAGAACGCGTCGTTAAAAATCGCATGAAATTGTACTAGAAAGATGAGCATTGATCAACACGATGGAAGCAGTCTCGTCCTTTCAACGGATACGAAACATAAGATATACCATTGAAACACTATTCAAATTCTTACGTTCGCGTCCGCTGATAACAACGAGACACCCAAGACTTATCGTTAAAACAAACGAATAATTAATAATAACAGTAATTACATTAATAATAACGGTAATAAAGAATCATTTAAATTTGACGACGGTGATAGCAGGCGGGATCCTTCGTGTCGCGCGTCTCAAAACGAAAAACAAAATATTTTTCTCGTTAAAGGATTAAACTGCACCGCCACCGTCGCAAAAGTCATCGAGATCAAACGATTTCTTTGTCCCTCGCGTTTTGGTTTACCTTCCCTACGAACGATTCGTGACCAAAACGAACGTGTAAGTTTTGTTTGCATGTCGTGCGGACGATCGAAGGCGAGAAAGGAGCACGTTTAAAATACGTAGATGAAAATAGAAGCTTCTCTCCTCGTCGCGAATACGAGTTTACGCGTGTTGGAAATCGCTACTTCGAATTTTCGTCCTTTTTTACGTACATACTTGTCAGCCATAGAACGAGATCTCCTGGCTAAAGGATGATTTTCATCCTCGGTATTGTATGTACTTACATCGATCGATCGATTCAACTGCGAAGCCTTTATCTCTATTTCGTGCACGCAGCTCCTCTTTGCTTTTTTTTTTCCTTTGTCGGCGAACACGATCTTAGGTCGTCGAGATGAGGCTAGCAAACCTCAGCTCGACACACGCATACATTCATCCACGCATACGCACATAGTACACATGCACACCCGCTGCATCGTTCCCTATTTTTCGCGTACGAAGCTCCAACAGTATGGTCGTTATCCTTACTCCCTTCTTTTTTTTATGTTTTTTCTTTTGTTCGTTTGTCGTTTCGCTTCGATTGAATTAATTTAATCTGGCAGTATAATATATAATTGGTGTATAAAATTTTGTTTCCCCTCTGCGACACGCATTGTCTGTTCATCGTATTCTTCACCTCGTCATCGTTACCGTTCCTTCTGTACATATGTATACGTTTATATGTCGGCCCATACCCGTCTAATTATCCGATAAAATTTAGAGAAAATATCACAATTGGCCCTAGCGCTTCGACGCGATTCCATTCAACTTGCCCGTCTGCGTCCTTCCAGGAAGAACAATCGGTCAGACCAAATATGTATATCGATTTGTTTTGCGGTCTTCCATTCGTCCGATACGTGGGTCGCACGCGACTCCATTTCTCTCTTTCTCTCTCTCTTTGTGTCTGATCGTGGATCGCGTGGACGATCGACGTGTTTTCAAGAAACGACGACAACCCCAACGAAATCGAGCTTCGTCGCCCTCGTCGGAAGAAGGAAGACCCATTGCAATGACCTAAGAGTCGGTTCGAGAACCATCACGTGTTCATTGGAACACGCGCGTACACGCTGCGACTTCGAGCGAGCGTGTATCTCTTTTCTTTATGTACCGAACCAAAAAAAAAAAAAGCAAAAAAAAGGATTTTTGCTCCGGCAAACCCGAAACGAGACCTTGTTCCGTGCTCTCCATGTACGTATAGATAGGAAGAAAAAAGGAATAGAAAGGGAGAGAGAAATAAAGAAAGAGAGCACGACAGTCTAAGGATACCTCGTCCCAGTTATTCGTTACCTACTAATCAAAATCCCTTATTACGGCTAAAAAAGACCCTAACGGAGTTTGCCAAATGCCAGACGATCGGTCAACGATCTTCTTTTCATCTTCAATGTTCGATTCTTCTCTCTATTTGATTACTGACAACAAGTGTCGACGATCTTCTCTGCTTCGCACGCAATGTGTGATCGGCCCTTCTAACCGTCCGCCATCCGTCATGGGATTGACGTTTTTCTGCGAGACTCATGGCGTCTCGTTTACCTATACTCGCAAGGCAGGAAAAAGCCAAGAGATACGACTACGGGAAACAAGAAATACAGGAAGAGGTATTGCTGGCGTTCGCAACACCGCCTGACCCAGTGATCTCTTTCGATCATTGGCATTTTATGACATCCCTGATAGCGGGAATATGAAAACCTGCCGGATCGAACGGTTCTAGAAAAGATGGTGGACGATATATGGGGTACCTCTTCGCTGTGGTGACACCAGTCAACGCTACGGATCGCACCACCTCACACTTTTGTTCGCGCTAGTCGAGTGTCCGACGACGACGATGGGAATTGGCAATTTTGCTGGCAGTTGGCGAGAGAAGTTTAACGTAGCATTGGCAAACTCTGGGGTCGGCTCGGCGACAATCTCCGTCCGCGGACGTACGAACGGGGCGGTCGCTTGGCCTAGTCGCCGAAACGGCTACAGGCTTTCTTCCACTTGCACTGTGTGCACCAAAGGTCACGGTGCTCCATACCATAGACCTTGCGACATTTCTTCGTCTCCCCGCGGATCCGTCGTGGCGATGATGGCACCTTGCCCGTCGACACCGGCAACAATGTATTCTGCTGGTACGCCTGGATCGGTCGTGGTGATAGCTTTATGTGCTTGATTGGCGTACCCTGTTTCAAGCACATCATCAAATCGAACGATTAATAAAAAGAAATGATACTTTCTCCGTGTTTGTAGGTCAAGGGTCGACAGATAGAGGTCCATCTTTACAGTAGTAGTTTTTCGAGACTTTCAAGTTTAACCTTATTACAATTGAATTGTAAGAAAAACAATGAAGGAAAAGAGGATAGTATGCATTTTGTTTTGGGTCTGCTAGTGGACTCACTCGGTGAAGTTACTCTGGCGACCCTGATTCCCAAAAAATAGGTGATGTTGGGGATAGTGGGAATTTAATGGATACTCTATTACCCCGTGATTTCTATTTTCCGCGGATCCTGTTCTACCTAGCAGACCCTTGCCTTTAGAAGCGGAGACAATTATGGTCAGGTCAGAATGCTGTACGAAGGAACAGGTGATTGAACGAGGACTTACAGGAAAGCTAGAGTTTTCGGACGATCCCTCTGGTGGCGAGTATGGGCAGTACCGCCATAACCTTTTGCGGTCCATCAGTCCCATGCAACGGACCGCTAGCAGATCCGACTAAAATTGATATTGATTTGAGATTAAAATAAAGAATGAGTAGTTTATATGTTCCTGGCTATCGGAGATCGTCTTGTAATAAGACAGATCCCGTCTTGGATGGGTTAAACCCGAAAGCCTCGTAAAACAATTATTATCGAGATAACTTTTGTTTATACCGTCTTTCTAACTATACAGCTGTATCTAACCCATCGAAGGGTCAGTGAACGTACCGGTGATTGCGAAATGGCGAACGCCGTATTACGTTCTCTGATCCCGACCATCATACTCTCGAGGCTGTTGTTGTTATTGTTGTTGTTATTATTATTATTGGTGGAGGTTGCCTCAAGGCGAAGTTGTTTCTGATACTCGGGATCTTCGTGTGGTGGCCTGGCCATGTCCCGGTGCGACATCGTCGGCGGTGAACTCATGTGATCCACCGCCACCTCTTGGTAGTAAAATTCCTCCTCGTGGTCCGAGATGTCGTCGTCATCTTCGTTATCGTAGCCGTTCGACTTTTTCGGCCTGCAACAGCCGCGTGATCGTGGTTAGACGCGAAGCTGAACGCGGCCGTCCGCGCGCGTGCAAAATGTAAGAGCGCGAACCACGGCCCAATCGTCACGGATTTCGTTCACGCGAACGATACGCTCGCAGCGCCGCCAATTTATCTTATCGGGCACGGGGTTCAAGGTTAATCGTCGCGTACATGACCTCGTATGTCTACCACCGGTCGGTCACGATACGCGCGACCAACCCGACGAAAAGCTCTTGGTCGGATTTTCACGAGACTTGTTGCGTCCCGCGCGCTTACACGTTGCTTACACTTACCCCAAGTGCGATTGGCGCACGTGTTCCTCGATAAGCGCCACGGTCGCTTTGATCTCCAGGCACCCCTTCCAAGTGCATTTGAACACCACTGCTGCGTTCGCCTGAAATCAGAACGATCTTTATATGCTTCGTGAACGATTAAGAAGAACAGTTATGTTTACGCTTGAAGAAATCTAGCAGTAAATATTAAATTACGAGAAGATCTAGGAGTAACCTTCCGTTAATTAACTTGTCTTCTTCTACTATGGAACAGGATATAAGTGTAATGTATGGTTTTATGCAATCTAACATCCTTAAATTTTCAACCGAACTAATGAAAGACATATCTTGAGCAACATCCTCGTGAAAGAGAGCAGTGGTTCGACACCGAAGCAACGATTTCGGCAAATTTTAGACCATCCTCTGACGGCATCTCACGGCTCGTCGGTCAACGCGGCCTAGCGTAAATCGTACGTAGGCACTCGAGCGGTGTGAAGCCGCGTACACGAGGGAAAATCGATGCGCGGCAGCCAGCGCGTACGCTGCGCGCCACGTTTCTTTGTTTATATCGGCCGGCACAGGACGGAGATATGCCGGTCGCAGCAGGATCACGTGCTATTGATCCAGGAACGATACCGCTTCTCTCGGACCACGCGGTCGTCCACGATCGAGCAGCAGCCTTCAACCCTTCCCGCCGCTTCCTTCGTCGCACGCAACGCGATCGACGACCCTGTGGCGGTAGCTTCGACTTGTTTTCGAGCCTCTAACCATGAAACGGCAAAGGGAACACAGCAAAACATATCTACGAAGCAACTACAAGAAAGACTGTAGATAATGTTAATTTAAATTTCGCCATACTTGGAATGCAATGTTTCACACTGCCTATGCCTGAGGGCACACTTGGATCTTAAAAGGTTAAAAGCGAAGGACGATGTGAGAGGCGATACATTGAAGTACGAACGGTAGTTCACTGAATTTTCAGTTTGAAATGTTTAACCAGAGCTGATAGAATTGCAAAAACATGTGAAAATGATAAATTAGCAATATGCTACTTCATGGAACAACAATATGTTTGCATTTGAATCGAATAGCGATAAAGGAACAAGGTATTTAGCTGTATGACAGTTAGCTCTCAAGGACTCGCTTGTTGTATGCTAAGAAATACATGTGTAGCAAAGACACTTAACAACAAAACTATTACAGTCGTAAATAGCGGTAACAAGCTGCAAGGTATGCGATTACGGTGAACGCAGGAATATGCGATCGACGTGAAACATAATTATCACGATTTTATATACAGCTTCCCTAAGGTTACAATTTTTAATGAAGTTCCAATGTAAGATGTACGATAAGATTTTATCGTTGCACCTGAACTGATAATACATTTTAATTTGTTTATTTTCAACAAGGTACTTATCATAAAAATGCAATAATATCCAAAGTCACTTGAACAGATGGTTCACGAATTACTTTGATCAATATTTACAGACACAAAAACATTAACATTACAATACTTAATACAAACTTTCCCGTTACCTTAGCTATTGATACTATTATAAACACCGCGAACGTATTCATACTGAATGACGCAAATCCCCCTTCTCTTTCAAATAGGTAAAACAGAAAATGGCTGTTGTACTATGACGGTAATTTTTAAAGTTTCACCTATAACAGGAAACGAATTTTTCATGAAGTACTACTCGCTTCTTCAAGGACCTTTCCGTTCGTGACATCACCTTTGAAACGGTACACGCGGGCAACGCGTACATGCCGTAGCATAGGCATTGCCGAGGTCACAGACCTTCTATGCCGGTTGGCAGGCAATGTTCTCCCTTTGCTTTGCCTTGGCTTGCCTTGCCGTTGCTTTTGCCTCGTACCGAAGAAGTCAGCGTTGATCCTTTCTCCTTTTACGCGGCGACTTTCAGTTACGTTCGTTAAAAATCATAAGATGCAGGCTATTCGAGCAACAGCATCTATCGTACGTCCACGTGTATTCCTCTACACGATCGAAATAAACTTTCCAGGATCCATTTGATCATTTTTATTAAACAAGAAAGGAATGAAAAACAAAGAACATCTCAGTGCATATGAAACACTGTTAACAGGTTGCATAGATCGTAGTATGATGCACAATGCAATACGAGAGATATAATTGGTCACGGTCAGTCTCTGCTGGCAAAAGTTTCCAAAAGGAGCAACGTGACCGAAAGAAAGAGAGATGTAAATCTCTGAGTGGAGAGGACGATCTTGTACCGGCATATCGTTGTGCGGTCTTTTCAACCGGTAGGGATGAGTAAGCGAGCCGACAGGGTTGCCGAGTGCGCTAGAGTCGTCCGTGGGTGCATCGTGCGCGATACGATGTTGCCGGTAGTATAGACAGCTAGATGGGGATGCACACGCCTGGTCTGATCGGACCACGGCCATCTACCCTAGCAGCAAGCTCGTTTACGCGACTACTCTATCTCGTTCCCTGTCTCTTTCCCATCGTACACCACGAGTACACGAACGTGCACGCCCTCTGGAATAAATTTGTAATGGTCCCGTGTAAACTCACATGGACGCATGTCTGTTGCGTTCGTTTTGACGCACCATGGAACCTTCGAATCGTTTATAATTAGACTATCCTATCATACGTCCTCAAACGACGTGTATTTCTCGAATGAAAATTCCAAGCAAGGTCTTTGCTGTTGCCCGCGTGTTTGTTTCGCTCCCATTACGACTCTGTATACTGTTTGCGGCAAGACATGTGCATACATGTACATATATGCGACTATGCCGCGGGATGGTAGCGAATCGAGCATTCTATCCGAAAATCGATTTGAAACTACTTGCACAGCAACAACTTGCTTTCCACGCTCTCGCTTTCTCTCCGCGTCATACTCGACACGCTCGTTTCCTTGGAAAATAACGCATTGCCGTTCTTTGCTTGCTTTTTCTACGCGTTCGTGTCGTTTGAAACATCGGTACTTAGGATTCGCGCGCCATTACTGACGTAACGAATTGACGCCGTCTTGCGTGCCCTAACCTCAATTTTATGTAAAACGCGTCGACGTACAGTTGCGCGACGCTGTTCTTCTTTTTATTCCTTCGTCGTACGTTCACGTTCCTTGTCGCGTCATGTTAATTCGATGTCAATTCCGATTTTGGGATCGTGTTGTTACCGTAGACGCCGATAGCTTCCACAGGCGCTGGACGTATCGCGCGCGCGGGAAGAAAGAAAGCGAGACGGTCGTATGGAGAGGCCGGGTAGAGAAGAGAGAAAGAACGGGAGGACTCGGCCGCAAGAAGTGGGAAGCGAGGGTAATGCCCGGGAAACCAAAACAAACCAGGCTTCTGTGTGTTGGCGCGTCGATCCGTGGCGTGTGGTGAGGGTCGGACGTTGACCCTTCTTAACACACGAATGCTTTACGCACGGACATGGAGTATACGGGGTGGCAGAAGAAAAATCCATGACTTTGTTATGGGAATGTGTCATGGTGAAGCTAAGAGCACAAGTTACGGGAGTACGCGCACGGAAAGATTAGAGAGTTTTAGAAGTAAAACGGCGGTAACGATAGGGCATTGTCACGGAACAATCGTGAAAGCAAGTACGTGACGACACCAAAAACCCATAACGATTCATACAGTTTCTAATACTGATTTTGCATTTCTAAGCAACCGCAAGGAAAAAGAATAAATTACTGGACAACTATTGACTTTTTTCTTGTTTTGTTTTTTCCTCTAACGTCGTCATACTTAATGACGCACGTGCACGCATTAATGCATGTCGTTATATACAAACTCACATTTGGAGCAAATACTACGATAACGAGGTATGGTCAAAGAGCAAAAAGCCTGAACTCTGCCATTGTTCGGCGTCGTTAATGCGTAGAAATTCAAGCGGAGAAAAATGCACAGGCACAGAAACGCGCTGAAACGGGCCGATTCGGCGCAATTTCCAAGCAACAACAGAGGTCGACGACACAGGGAAACAGAGAAGGAGCATCGTTTCGAACGTGCAAGAGGAGGGAGGCAAGCGTCGAACATCCGTGAGTCACGATGAAACTGCACCAGGATGTTCAACTTGTTTTCAATTTGTACTTTAACCATCAGCAACAAAAATCTGTCAAGGCATACACCCTGAATGATAACATATCTTTAAAACATCGTTCTTACTCTATCATTAGAATCTATTGTCTCGTATTGACAGCTGGCATTAGTTCGAAAAATACATGATAAATCTCGATTTACCGGCTTGATGGCCGCCATTATGAAGGTCAGCGCCACCATCGAGAACGTTGTGAAACGGCCGTTGCTTGGTCCCTGAGGAAGAACGAGAGGAGCGTAAAGAGAGAAAAGAATGGAACTACCGAAAGATTCAAGAGCAAGAGCGCAGGGAGGGACGAAATGCGCAGACGCACATGCGTTGTTTACGTCTCCAAGCGGCGCGAGGGTTCGCAGCGTTTACACGAAACGAAATAGAGGACGTTAGTTTACCCAGCCAGAGGCCGAATCCAAGCTTGATGCGTCTCGATCGAATATGTCACTCTCGTTTAGGCAGAGACAAAACGGGCCAAAGTAGAATGGACAATAATGAAGGAGCGAAAAAGACACAAGATACCAGGATAATGGAATGAGATACGACGCGAATATTGTCGGTCATTCGCTTCTGCCTTATCATCTTATCGTTGACTTTGACTTTGACACGAAGTACATTCTTGCAACGGTGAAAAACCGGCCGGGTTACCTTGTCCGTGTTTGTGTGATAAAAACACTCGCGTACTCTCGTTTCCTTGCGTGCGGAATCTGAGAATCCGAGACGGAAACCAGGCGAGGCTGATTAATCATGGCCGACGCTACTTTGCGTTATAGCGGTACACTCGTCGTGGCGTTTGTTTTCCTCAAGCACTCCCTCGCTCCCGCGTACGCCTTTATATGGGAAGTACCGTAGATTAGCATAACTTGCGATTCTACTTTCGAACGGAGACTAATTATCACGCTGATTATCCTAATTAATGCGCAGTTGCACTTTCATGCCTATCGTGATTATTAGTTCGGTCAATCGAGAGGGAGCAATGAAACGCATTGTTGCCAACACTAATGAAGCTAGAGATTATTGAAGCTACTTTATCGTTTCAGATCG